TAACATCAGAAGCCACTAAAAGGGAACACCCTCCCTGGACTCCCTGGACTCCCTGGACTGCTTGGACTCCCGAACTCCCAAAGTTGACACTAGCTACTTTAACATCAGAAGCCACTAAAAGGGAACACCCAACCCTACTACGATCAGTAGCTATCACTAGAATTCAAACTACCTTGAACAGCTGGTGGGTCCAAGAATCCTATCAACAACAGTGCTACAGGATTCATATCCATAGCTCCAAACCCCAAGCACATTCGGTTCGCCTGCCTGATGGTCAGTCAGTATTCACTGCTGAATTGAAGGCAGTTCATTGTGCACTCAAACTCATACCGGAACTACCGGAAGCAAAGGCAGTCGTCCTATCAGACTCGTTAAATGCCCTTCAAGCCATCATCGTCGGAAACTCAAACTCCAGGCCAAACTCAGTCAATAATGTTCTATACGATTATACAAAACTATCGGACCAAGGGCAACAGGTGGAGCTGTTTTGAATCCCTTCTCACATATTTATTCATGGAAATGAAAAAGCAGACACACAGGCGAAGCTCGCTCAAGACAAAGCGGAGATACAGCCTTTTCCCTTTTGTAACTAGAGACATAAAATCAAAGTCTCAATAACCCAAAGATGGCAAGCCCAGTGTCAAGTAAGATTGGCAGATATCTCTGCAACATTCAACCCAAGATCCACCAAAAGCCATACTCACATTCAAATGAAAAAAAGTTGAAATAGCCATCTCACGTCACAAAAAGCACTATGACAAGGTTTGTCCATTTTGCAATCAACCTGAATCCATTGCTCACTTGTTACTAGAATGTCAAGACCACGCCCCAGCCCGGGCTAGGTTAAAACAAGAATTGCAGTCAGATCCGCTATCTGTTGTAGATCTCCTAAAGTCAAGAGATGCAAGAGCGAAGGCCAACTCTATTTCTGAGAGATGGACATCTACTTGAACGTTTCAAAACAGAGCAGCCACAGATAAAATTGAAATAATCAATATACGTAAATAGAGTCGAATATATATATATATATATATATATATATATATATATATATATATATATATATAGACATTCTATGAATACCAAACTCACAATAGATATGTGTACCCTACGTACACACATGAGTCAACCAGAATTGGCAGAAGGCGACCTCTTAAACACTTAAAACAAAACAACAACATTGTGTCATTACCCTACAGGATTGGATAGGCCGTTCGGGGCGGTGTGCTACGTGGTGGTCTCGTTCGAAACTCAAGTTTTGTCAGTAAGTGGTTTCGGGACACTGATTCGATTTAACTTCCGACTTAGTGTGGATGTACTGAACTACACTTAGTAGCTAGGGTTTGTAATGCTCAGGGTTTTTTTTCTAGAAATCCGTGGATAACCAACCTTCCCGTGATTAACTAGCTACTTAGTAACTAGTTTTTCCAGTAATCCGTTTTTTCTAGTAATCCGTGGATTACCACCCTTCCCGTGATTGTTTAGCTATTTTGAAATTTTAGAGTTTCATTGTTCAGTCAGTGACAGAATCTGTAGTCGATCAGACTTGTTTGATTTTCAGACGTACTCGTCTATTTTGTAGCCTACACGACTTAGTTGTTATTACTGTAATATAGTTGCTTAGCTAAGCCGCGTGTTATTTTGCTATGATGTAATAAATCAGTGGTCTGTGTCAGCGCAGACTGGGTTTATCTGATCTTTTATTATTATTATTATTATCTTATATTATCTATTATCTATTAGTACAATTAGCTGCTATTTATAAACCTGTGAACCTATCACCACGTTTTCATCATTACTTTATATGCATGTCATAGTATTCCAATTGCGTGGATCGATGCTCATGTCAATCACTGGAGTGTCTGGTCCAGACTCGATTATTTACAGACCGCCGTCAGATATATAGCTAATAATATTGCTGAGTGTGGCGTTAAATAATAAACAATACAACACAATGTATTTGTTTAATGACACCCCTGATCATTGGAGCACATCTCCGTGATAAACAATTTTTACGAGAAATGTGTGTCGCCAGCTGGGTTCGAACCCGCGAAGTCCACGCCGAAGGTTAAGGAATGTAGTCTTCTGTCACGGGGACATGGATGAAACTCGTGATTTGGTAGCTTTTCGGTCAAAGAACAGTTAGAAAAGAAATTACTCTCATCTTAATCCGGGATGTGTTTGCTCATAATTAGTTCGTCAACATGGGCAAGTAATATTTAGGTGATACATGTGTTCAAGTTTGACCTGTATGAATTGTATACTTGCCCCGGGAAGTGGATTTCATAGTCCAAGACGCCAAGGAGTGAGGTGCAAGTGGGAAAGGCTCGGAGAATAGGCTGGTGAGAAAGTTCTGAGTCTGACTAACTTTCAACTACATGTAGCTATACATAGTGGTACATGCACACCCAGGTTGTTAGTATACAACGTAGTTATATATAGTGATACATGCACACCCAGAATGTCAGTGTACAACGTAGCTATAAATAGTGACATATGCACACCCAAGATGTCTGTATACAACGTTGCTATCTATAGTGATACATGCACACCGAAGATGTTAGTATAGAACGTAGCTATATATAGTGACACATGTACACCCAGGATGTCAATATACAACGTAGCTATACATTGTGATACATGCACACCCAGGTTGTTAGTATACAACGTAGTTATATATAGTGATACATGTACACCCAGGTTGTCAGTATACAACGTAGCTATATATAGTGATACATGCACACCAAAGATGTCAGTATACAACGTTGCTATCTATAGTGACACATGCACACCGAAGATGTTAGTATAGAACGTAGCTATATATAGTGATACATGTACACCCAGGTTGTCAGTATACAACGTAGCTATATATAGTGATACATGCACACCCAGGTTGTTAGTATAGAACGTAGCTATATATAGTGACACATGTACACCCAGATTGTTAGTATACAACGTAGCTATACAGTGTGATACATGCACACCCAGGTTGTCAGTATACAACGTAGTTATATATAGTGATACATGCACACCCAGGTTGTCAGTATACAACGTAGTTATATATAGTGATACATGTACACCCAGATTGTCAGTATACAACGTAGTTATATATAGTGATACATGCACACCCAGGTTGTCAGTATACAACGTAGTTATATATAGTGATACATGTACACCCAGGTTGTCAGTATACAACGTAGCTATATATAGTGATACATGCACACCCAGATTGTCAGTATACAACGTAGCTATATATAGTGATACATGCACACTCAGATTGTCAGTATACAACGTAGCTATATATAGTGATACATGCACACTCAGATTGTCAGTATACAACGTAGCTATATATAGTGATACATGCACACCCAGATTGTCAGTATACAACGTAGCTATATATAGTGATACATGCACACTCAGGTTGTCAGTATACAACGTAGCTATAAATATTGACATATGCACACACAGGATGTTACTATAGAAGGTAGCTATATATAATGGTACATGTACATCCAATATGTAAGTATGCAAGGCAGCTTTATATAGTGACACATGTACACCCAGGATGTAGGTACCCAATGTAGCTATATATAGTGACACATGCACACCGAAGATGTTGGTATACAACGTAGCTATATATAGTGACACATGTACACCCAGTATGTCAGTAGACAACGTAGCTATATATAGTGACACGTGTACACGCAGGATGTCAGTACCCAATGTAGCTATATATAGTGACAGATGTAATTAATTGTACATTTATAGACTTATCCTACCGCACACTATGCATTTCTCCTTGTTTCGATCTGCGTGTGGAAACGCGCTATGACCCTTTAAGAACCCTTTACACCCGACCACATCCTAGCGTCACCATGGTCACCAGTAAACAAATGGACCAAGCAAATAATGTAAATAATCGAGTCAGGACAAGACAACCCAGTGATTGACATCATGAACATCGGTCTACGCAATTGGGATACGATGACATGAATCAACCAAGTCAGCGAGCCTGACCACCCGATCACGCTAGTCGCCTCTTACGACAAGCATGGGTTTGCTGAAGACCAATTCTAACACAGAATATTCACGGGGAGTAGTGAATGGATCACTGAAAGTCAAAGAGGACACAAGACGTTCGCGCAAAGGGTAAGCATGTCCTGCTCTACCGGTATCACACCCGCCACTCGTACAGCCTGCATAAACAAGTAAGTGTTTGTTTGTTGCCTACCACCACACAGCAGTACTACTTCCATACGACAGTGGCCTGAAAACAACCAAGTCTTAACCAGACGATCCTTTGATAGTTGGACAGACAGCTCAGTGATAGTGCTGAAACTGAAAATGAGATGTTTGTTTTGAATTACGTCTGCTTCTTGAAAAACATAATTTTGCTTCACTCCGTTGATAAAAAGAGTGAGTGAGTGAGTGAGTGAATGAGTATTGTTTTACGCCGCTTTTAGCAATATTCCAGCAATATCACGGCGGGGGACACCAGAAATGGATTTCACACATTGTACCCATGTCGGGAATCGAACCCGGGTCTTCGGCGTGACGAGCGAACGCTTTAACCACTAGGCTACCCGACCGCCCCTGATAAAAAGAAATTGTCTGCCACAAAAGTCACAGCTTGAAAATAGCTAGACTCCATAAAAGACACTCCCCACATTGCTCCCCCGAAAATCCAAAGGTTGGTCCCTTACACGTCAAGAGGAACACTTAAATAATATGTTAATATGTTGTTGTGCTTTGAGCTTGTGATGTTACACGGGAACTATTTTTTCATAATGTACCATATACAATCCATCAGGTAAATAATTATTTTCTGGTTATGTTTGCACCATTGGTTATCTCCTATACCCACTGGTATGAAGCCAAATGGAGGCTTGGGAAAGGCCAAGACTTGATGGTCGTTCATCATTATTATATAGTGAATAGAGCATAATACTGTGCTAATTGGTCGCATGATGAATGGATTGGATAACTGGTAATGATTTTACCTGCAGATGAGCCACCTGAAGAAGAACACAGGCAGAAGTAGAATTTCCAAACAACTTTGTCTGAGCTCGTTCTAGGAATACTCACTGCCAGAATTCCTCGGTGGACGTATGTCCATAAACACTTGTTATCTCTGTAGAGGTATCCTCGCCCTCGAATCTGTGAGTAACATGTTCCTGAGACATATTCGCGGAAATGAAGAGACGTGTCTCCCCCACAGAGACACACTGTGGAGTGTTCCATGTATTACCGCAGGTTGTCCAGGGCAGTACGGGGGTGTAAGAGCAGTAGACGTAGTAGAGAGCCCAGGCAAACACCATACTGAAGTATGGTACGATGAGGCAGTCGAGGGTCAGAATAACTTCAAATAAAAACATTTTTAAGTTCATTATTGTTCAGAAACATTCCAAAGTGCCATGCAGGCTATCACATGCTCAGGGTTTACCCATTCAATATTAAGTTATCTATCTTAGATACTTTCGGGGAATCTTCAATCATCAAATTCAATTATCGGGCGGTAAGGCTCTTTGAATTTGCTAATGGCATGTCCCCCCTAAATAAATGAAAAGGTTCATTTGTTTACAACTTCAAAAATGTTGTCCATGCGTCAGAAGGGACTCGGTAATCGAATACTGTTTTTGTATGGGCATTTATTTTTATGCACTTTTCGTCGTTTACGTACGAATCTTACCTGTCATGACTGGACACATCGACCACACCTTTATTGGTCCTTGAGCAGAAAACTGACCAAGTGCATTGTCGAGGAAAAAGAGCGGCATTGACAAGAATTATTATACCACAAAGATAACATATGGAATCAGGTACGCACCTGAAAACAAATCATCACCCGTATTATTCTTTGATGAAACTGATGTATGTTGCAAAAACAGTGGATACAGATTGATCCTAATTCGTACTGATCATTTTCAGTCTAAGTCTGGTTTTTAGCTCAATCTTACCGCCACCATTCCATTGGCAGACAGGAACGTTTGGAAAAAGAATCTATGATTTCATTGCATAAAGATTTATTTTACAGATTGTGCAGTAAAATATATTGACTACGCACATTCCATATCGTGGACAGTCACATCATAGTACTGTGGAAAACATGGGGTGTTACAAACACGTTTACAGGTGTATATGAGCAAATCCGGAAACAAAAGAGATCTGTGAAAGGTAAGTATTTAATATTATAGTTCAGCATTAGGAGCATTCGTTTGTGCACAGATGCAATCATGTGAAGGTTTGGATTGTTCAATCAGGAATCAGAGGCGCACCTGAAAACAAATAAAAATCATCATATTATTCTTCAATCAAACTTATGTATGTTGCACAAACATTAGAGTGAGTGAGTGAGTATGGTTTTTACGGCGCTTTTAGCAATATTCCAGCAATATCACGGCGGGGGACACCAGAAATGGGATTCACACATTGTACCCATGTCGGGAATCGAACCCGGGTCTTCGGCGTGACGAGCGAACGCTTTAACCACTAGGCTACCCGACCGCCCCCCACAAACATTAGATGTGTATGTGTCATAACAAAGTGAACTGGTCAGTGCAGTACATTGTTGGAGTTGTTCATTGCAAGTGTATTTGGTCTGTTGAGGACATGTGCATATTAGTGGCAGCCAGTTGAACGTGATAAGGGTCCAAATGGACACAGAAATGGAAATCAAGTTTTTGACTTCAGAGAAAAGTACTCCCTAAAAAATTCATGACCACATGTATGGGGGATAAGTGCTTTTGCTACTCAACTGTTAAACGTTGAGCAGCTATGTTTAAGGCTGGGAGAACAAGCCTTGATGATGACCCTAGGTCTGGACGTCTTTCAACTGCCATCAACGAAAATTCAACCAAGGAAATAGAAAAAAAGACTTGTCAGATAGTCGTATAACCATTGCTGAACTTGAGGAAGACACAGGTCAAAGCCATGGATCCATTGAAACTATTATTCATGAACATTTTCAGATGAATAAGATATCTGCTCGTTGGGTGCCACAGTTTCTAAATTCTGGTCTCAAGGAAAAAAGAACTGACATTGCCAGAGACAATTTAGGGCTAATTGAGGAGGATTTCGTCCAATTTAGACAGCTTAGTAACGGGTGATGAAACATGGGTCTACCAATGTGATCCCCAGTCAAAACGTCAATCCATGGAATAGCACCATTCCGGCACCAAAGAAATTCAAGTCTTCAAGATCAGTGAAGCAAATTATGGCCACTATGATAACTAAGAAAGTCAAAAGACGATTACTACTTGCCTACTATGCTGATTTGCTTCATCGCAAAGAAAAAGGGCGAGGAATGCTGACTGCTGGAGTTCTATTATTTCATGACAATGCCTCTTCTCGCACCTCTCGACTTGCAGAGACTGTTGCGGGACAATGTGGGTTCGAAGAACTTCCTCACCTACCAAACACGCCAGACCTGGCACCAAGTGATTTCCACCTGTTTCCTAAACTGAAAGAACACCTTCGTGGAAAGCGCTATGACGACAACGATGACCCCAGAGCTTCCCTGAATGGTTTTTTTTCAGGATGGCTTCAGAAAACTTTATCCTGACTTGAATTGAAAAGCTTCACTATCGATATGAGAAGTGTATTGAAAAGCAGGGAGATTATGTTGCAAAATATAGTTAAAACACTTTCACAATTTTTGGTTTTATTTGTTAGGCCTTGAACTTTTCGACCATCCCTTGTACACTTCACGTGCATCGCGTAGGGCAGTCTCGCACAGTTCTTGCATATCTTTCTTAAATTCGATTAAAAAACATCGTTGTTTCAAACATTTTAGGTGCTAGGATGCTTTGAATGAATGTTATCCATGGTTGACGGCACACATGCTCTGCAAATCCTCCAATCCACCGAATTCTGCACGGCAGCCGCCATGTTGTTTATGAACCGAATGTGAATTTCGTTACGCGATTTTGATTGGACTATGCATAGACTCGTTAGTCCAGACAAAATATAACATAATTGACTCCTAGTTCGGCAAGGGCGGAAACTGGCCTTTTACAGTCGGGAAGATGCTACTCACTAACGAGACTGCCAAAAACAAAGGCAATCAAAAAGAAACAGAAATCTTCAGAGGCATTAACCTTGTAAGCTGTTTAGGCAAATAACCAAATTTAGATGTGGACAGAATACTCATGGTATTCAACTTGTTCGTAGGAGTGTTGCGAATATTGAGGAGGATGCCGTCTTATGTAAACACTGTCATGTAATTCAGGATGAACTTCATGTTATATAGAACTGTCCTCTTTATGCAAGTCGGCGGGAAATGTATATCCCAAAGACAGTTTATCACAATTAGTTTTGTTTAGAAAGACTCTGTCAATTATCCAACAACGATGCAATGATAAATTTTGCAACATTTCTAATGTACGTGTTCTCAACACACACACACACACACACACACACACACACACACACACACAGATAGAGAGTATCAATTAGGTAACTCTTAGATAAATATAATGTAAATGTATTTTGTACAATGGGTCAAATGGCCTTATACAAATAAATCTGTCTGTCTGTCTGTCTGTCTGTCTGTTTAGGCAGGCTCTTGACCACTATGATCCTTAACGCCTCCAATCGTATTCTGATCATGTTGACCCGTGAAGATTCCGGGGTAGAATAGGTTTTCAGCAACCCATGCTTGCCGTATAAGGTGACCATGCTTGTCGTAAAAGGTGACCATGCTTGCCGTAAAAGGTGACCATGCTTGTCGTAAAAGGCGACTTAAGGGGTCAGGTGGCCAGGCTCGCTGACTTGGTTGATGCATGTCATCGATCCCAATTGCGTGGATCGATACTCATGATATTTATCACTGGATTGTCTGGTCCAGACTCGATTATTTACAGACCGCCGTCATATAGCTGGAATATTGCTGAGTGCGGCGTTAAACAACAATCCAACCAAATCCAAATCTGATCATGTTATTTTTCTAGGTCTTAACCAAGCGGGATCCAGTCAAGGCTATTCAATAACAGATTACAACAGAGAGAAGGAAACAGACGCTAACCCTGTGCCATGTCCGTGACAGCGCGTTGTAGATCGTCGGTAGGTTCTGCCTTGTGGTTAGAGAGATGGGAAACGAGTACGGATGCAGAAATAGACGGAGTACTTCAGCGAAAGGTCGTGGGTCTCAGACCGCATCCGCGTTCTAGTGGAAAGAGCGTCTGTCCGGAGAGCGGAAGCTCGTGGGCTCGCTTCCAAAAGATGTTAAAATATGGTACTTGTTGTTAACCTGCCTGGCGCCCGGCATTAAGGGGCTAAAACAAGGCCTGGTCGGCTCGGAGTCAATACACTTTGTCTGAGTGGGGTATTCATGTTGAACTGCGGTGTGGTGTCTCAGTGGGCTAGCACTATAAACTCGGCATTAGTCCGGACTAGTACAAGCAGCCCCCCACCCCACCCGACCCCACCTCACCCCACCCCACCCCACACACATACACGCGACGTTAAACCCCATTTCACCTCACATCACCACGTGGGACTCGTTCATGCAAGATCTCACATAACAGCGATGGCAATGTTGTTTATAAAGGACAAAGGATTATATCTCTTGAATAAATGTATGTTAATTTTTGGTGTTCTTTGTTTTTCTCCATCACGTATGAGATAAATGTGGTATTCGGCAATACGAAAATCCTATTTTTGATTTATTTCACTAGTTCTCGACACAAAAAGTTGTTATCTCTAATTTCTCACTATAATTTTGTTGAGCATGACGTCATTTGTTGTAGTATTACGTCAATGTATTTTTAAATGGTGTGATGTTACGTAGTCATCGCTATGCATGTAGACTGACTCTACCAATACAACCGTACAAAATGTCAATGACAAAGTTACTAAATCGGTCATCTTCGTGAAACTGATCTGACTTAATCACTTTTAATTTTGCTTACATGCAAATGATATATTTCGACATTGTGTGGAGATTAAATAGCCTTTTTGTGGAAATAATGTAAAAGATATATCCAATATTTGGAAGAAATACATTTGTTTTGTGGAAAAGATATACCCGTTATTTGGAAGAAATACATCTGTTTTGTGGAAAAGATATACCCGTTATTTGGAAGAAATACATCTGTTTTGTGGAAAAGATATACCCGTTATTTGGAAGAAATACATCTGTTTTGTGGAAAAGATATACCCGTTATTTGGAAGAAATACATCTGTTTTGTGGAAAAGATATACCCGTTATTTGGTAGAGGTGTAGCCATTATGTTGAAAAGGTGTAGCCATTATGTTGAAAAGGTGTTGCCATTATGTTGAAATGGTGTTGCCATTATGTTGAAAAGGTGGAGTCATTATGTGGAAATGGTGTAGCCATTATGTTGAAATGGTGTAGCCGATATGTTGAAATGGTGTTGCCATTATGTTGAAAAGGTGGAGTCATTATGTGGAAATGGTGTAGCCATTATGTTGAAATGGTGTTGCCGTTATGTTGAAATGGTGTAGCCGTTATGTTAAAATGGTGAAGCCATTATTTTGAAAAGGTGTAGTCATTATGTGGAAAAGGTGTAGCCATTATGTTGAAAAGGTGTTGCCTTTGTGTTGAAATGGTGTTGCCGTTATGTGGAAATGGTGTAGCCATTATGTTGGAATGGTGTTGCCGTTTTGTTGAAATGGTGTTGCCGTTATGTTGAAATGGTGTAGCCATTATGTTGAAATGGTGTTGAAATGGTGTTGCCATTATGTTGAAAAGGTGAAGTTATTATGTGGACATGGTGTAGCCATTATGTTGAATTGGTGTAGCCATTATGTTGAAATG